TCTGGTGCTGAGGGTTTTGGGGTGGGGGTCCCACTGGGGCTCAGAATTTGGGGTGGGGGGACTCTGGTGTTGAGGGTTTGGGGCTGGGGGTCCCACTGGAGCTGAGGGTTTGGGGGTCTCACTGGTTCTCTCTGCAGTGCTCAGGGGTGAGGGTCTCTGGTGCTGAAAGTTTGGGGATGGGGGGTCTCAGTGAAGCTGAGGGTTTGGGGGCTGGGGGTCTCTGGTGTTGAGGGTTTGGGGTGGGGGTCTCACTGGAGCTGAGGGTTTGGGGTTTGGGGTCTCTGGTGCTGAGGGTTTGGGGCTGGGGGCCCCACTGGTGCTGAGAATTTGGGGTGGGGGTCTCTTTGGGGGTGCTCTCTGCAGTGCTCAGGGCTGGGGGTCTCACTGCTGTTGAGGATGTGGGGTGGGGATTGGTTGGGGTGAGGGGGGGTCTTGGTGTTGGGGTCAGTTTGGGAGTGGGGGTCTCTGGTGCTGAGGGTTTGGGGTGGGGGTCTCGTGGTGAGGATTTAGGGGTGGGGTCTCACTGGTGTTCAGCGTTTGGGGCAGGGGGTCTCATTGGTGTTGGGGGCTTGGGGTCTCAGTGTTGGGGTCTCACTGGTGTTGATGGTTTGGGTCTCACTGGAGCTGAGGGTTTGGGGTCTGTCACTGGTTCTGGGGTTTGGGGTCTCACTGGTGTGGGGGGTTTGGGGTCTCACTGGTGTTGAGGGTTTGGGGTTTGGGGTCTCACTGGAGCTGAGGGTTTGGGGGTTTGGGGTCTCAGTGTTGGGGTCTGTCACTGGTGCTGGGGTTTGGGGTCTCACTGGTTCTCTCTGCAGTGCTCAGGGGTGGGGGTCGCTTGTGTGAGGGGGGGTCCTGAGGGGGGCAGCAAAAGGGGGGGATCCCCCCCTCCCCACTCACCATCGCTTTTGGGGTTCCCCAGCACCTTCATGACCTCGGCGTTGGTCGGGTTCTGCCCCAGCGCCCTCATCACGTCCCCGCATTGGCTGTACAGGATCTTCCCGTCCCCCCGTGCGGTCAAAGAGCTGGAACGCCTCCTTGAACTCTGCCGGGACCCCCCGCGTCAGGCCGGGGCTACCGGGACCCGCCGGGACCACCGGGATCCCCCCGGCACCCCCCCCAGTCAGTGCGAGACCACCGGGACCCCCCGGGACCACCGGGATCTCCCCGGGACCACCGGGAACCCCCCGGGTCCTGTGGGACCACCGGACTCCACTGAGGCACCAGGACCACCGGGACCCCCCCCAGGGTACCGGGACCCCCCCCTGTATCAGTGCCGGGACCACCGGGACCCCTCCCAGGTCAGTGCCGGGACAACCGGGAGCCCCCCCGGGACCCTCCCTGTATCAGTGCCGGGACCATCGGGGCACCGGGACCCCCCTCAGGGACCCCCAAACACAGCCGGGACCCTCCCTCAGTTTCAGCAGGGCCGGGACCACCGGGACCCCCCTGTGACAACATCACCGGGACCCCCGGGGCACCGGGACCACCGAGTCGGCAACTCCGGGACACCGGAGCCTCCGGTTTGTTCCACCGGGACCCCAGAGCCGCATCCCCGGGACCCCTCAGACCCCCGGTCGGGTTTCGCTCTACGGTAGGATCCGGTTCCTGGTAGGATCCGGTTCCCGGTAGGATCCGGTTTCCCGGTGGAACCCGACCCCGGGCCGGGATGCAGGAGGGGCCGCCGCCCTCGGGGGATGCTGCCCGTGCCCGGCGGGTCCCGTTCGGAGCCCGGCGGGTCCCGGAGCACCGGGAGCGCTCCGGAATCCGCCGGCCCCGCCCCGCAGGAATGCGCGGCCGGCGCGCGCCATGCCCATATAAGGGCAAATTGCGCAGGAGGGGCCCGAACCCCCCCGGCCCCGGTTTCTGTCCCGGTTCCGGTCCCGGTTCCCATCCCGGTCCCGCACCCCCCGGCCCGGTACCCCCCGGTACCCCCGGTGCCGCATCCCCCCCATCCCCCGCTCCCAACGGGGACTTTGCCCCGGAAAGGCCCCGCCCGAGGCCGAGCAGGAAGCGCCGGGGGCGGCGGCGGCGGCGGGAGCGGCCCGGGGGGGTCCCTCCGCCGTGCCCGTGCCCGGTGCTCGCTCCCGGTGCCCCGTGCCCGGTGTGCGGTGTCCGGTGCCGGTCACTCACCCGCGGTCTGCTCCTCCGAGAAGTCGCACTGCGGGGAGAGCGGCGGTCAGCGCGCACCGGGATGGGAACCGGGAACCGGCGGCGGCATCCCCGGTGCACGGAGCGGCCGCCCGCGCCCGGTGCCCGCCCGGTGCCCGCCCGGTGCTCCCGGGACCTCCCGCGCCATCCCCGCCCCGCTGCGACCCCCCGCCCCCGCGCCCCCCGCGCATCCCCCGCCCGCGCATCCCCCGCGGTTCCCGTTCCCGGTTCCCCTCCCGGTTCCGCTCCCGGTTCCGCTCCCGGTTCCCCTCCCGGTGCCGTTCCCGGTGCCGTTCCCGGTGCCCCACCATGGCGGCGGCCGCTCCCGTCCGTTCCTGCTCCTTCGGGCGTCACCGCGCGGCTGCGTCACGGCGCTAATGAGGGTGTTAATTATTCATGAAGGAGCGGGGCGGGGCATCGGGGGGACACGCCCCTTTTCCAGCGGGGAATGTTTTGGCTGTAGATGGGCACGGAGATGGCACCGCCACCCCCCCATGGGGACATCGCAGAGGGGACATCGCAGAGGGGACATCGCAGGGACATCACAGGGACACCCCCATGGGGACAGCACAGAGGGGACATCGCAGGGGACACCTCAGGGACATCACAGAGGGGACATCGCAGAGGGGACAACACAGGGGACACCCATGGGGACATCGCAAAGGGGACATCACAGAGGGGACATCCCCATGGGGACACCCACAGGGACACCCCAGGCCGAGGGGACACCCCCATGGGGACAGCACAGAGGGACAAACACAGGGACACCCCCATGGGGACATTACAGAGGGGACACCTCAGGGACACCCAC